CGTATCTATATCACATAAGGACCATAACTAATTTCAAACAGAGCTCTTACTATGAACCCACCCAGAGTACAACAAAATATATCTATGTCTTCTGCTATACGGTTGAGGATACGGAGGGCGCGCGTAAAGGGCGCTTCAGTCACCAGCTTAGTGTGGCCGCGCGGCACAGCTATCACCTGCGGCCGCCGCCGCCGCCACACGTATCTGTCCGGAACACATATGCGCACTTGTTGCAATACGTCTGGATTGTGAATCTTTCCCCTCATCACCTTAAAGATATATGAAACAAGCGCTAAATTCCTCCTAACCTTTAGCTCATTGTATCCTACCATACCTAAGGTGAATAAGGTAGGATACTTATTTGGGTAAAATGGGTATACTCCATACATTTTTTGATATAAATATCTAATAAATATATTCTGCACTCTCTCCAACATGATACTATACTTAGTCTCATGTGGAGACCAGATGACCGCGTTGAATTCTAATTGGCTCCTCACTAAAGAATTATATAATGCAATAACTGTCTTTATATTAGTGAACTCCCTAGCTATCCGTAGTACGAATCCCAAATTTCTGTAGGCTTTCTTACAGATTTTGGTTATATACTCTCCAAATTCTAGTTTAGAGGAGAAATTAACCCCTAGATCTTTGATTTTTGACACTTTCGCTATTGGTGCCCCGTTAATCTGGTATTGGTACGTAACTGGAGATAGTACACGGCTGAAGGTCATAGTTATGCACTTCGTGATGTTAAATTGTAAGTTATTATGTTGGTTTTATGCCGAATTAATGGTCTATTCAGGCGGTGGCGCCATCGGTCATCTGTGTCTACCACTGCGTTACAGCGTATTAGAACAGAAAGATTACAAGATGAAGGTGAGAAAAACAAGTTTAAATGTAGACTGAAAGAAAACGTAAGTGGTTTTGATGAATTATGTATGAATGAGTTAGACTTGGAGAATGTATGGCAAAATGTTAAGAAAGGTTTAGTAGATGCAGCTACCGAAGTATGTGGTGTTAGTAAGAGAAAGAATGAAAGGAAAAATAATACGTTATGGTGGGATGATGAGATACGTACGGAAGTTGAAGCAAAGAAGAGAGCATGGCTAGATTTACTAGCAACTAAGGCTGGTAATTCTAGCGGTACGAATGATGATTTTGAAAGAAAAAAGGCAGTCTTTAGACATCTAAATAAAAGAGTAAAAGAAGTAGTTGAAAGGAAAAAGCAAGAAAGAACGGATAAGAATGATAGAAGAATATCGGATAACTTCCAGGCAAATATTAAAATGTTCTGGAAAATCTTAAGAACTGCCAGGGGATGTTCAAAACAGCCTATAATGAATGCTATAAAAGATGAGAATGGCTATATTCTGAATGATGAAGTTTTGAGTTTAAAGAGATGGAAGGAATATTTTGAAAGCATGTTTATGAGTGAGGAGACAACGTATGAACTGAATGAAATAGGAACTCCGAAAGAAGAGGAAGGAGGTAGCGAGATAAGTATAGATGAAATAATGAAAGCAATGAAAAGCATGAAAGCAGGTAAGGCTGCCGGATATGATAGAGTTTCACTCGAAATGCTAAGGGCTGGAGAGGAAGTGGTGGCAGGCCTGCTGCACACCTTGTTTAATTTATGCTGGGAACTGAAGCGGGTACCGGGAGACTGGTGCAAAGCCGTGATAGTCCCAGTATATAAGGGAAAAGGGTCGCAGCAGGACTGTAAAAACTACCGCGGTATCAGCCTTCTTAGCATCGTGGGAAAACTGTATGCCAAGGTACTAATTGAAAGGGTCATGAAAGAAACCGATGGAAAAATTTGGGATGTGCAAGCGGGATTTAGAAAGGGAATGGGATGTACAGATCAAGTCTTCTCCATGCGCATGATCGCGGAGAAGTTTTTAGCCAAAAACCAAAAGGTTTTTTGTGCGTTCATGGACTTGGAGAAGGCCTATGACAGAGTGGATAGGAATGTGCTATGGCAAACACTGAACTCATTTGGATTGAGCGCTGGCTTGATACAGGCATTGGAATCTCTTTATAGGGACTCTAGTGCTTGTGTTAGGATCAACGGGGTCTACTCGGACTGGTTTGGCATCCATAAAGGTGTCAGACAGGGCTGTGTGGCTTCCCCGTGGTTGTTCAACCTATTTATGGACAGTTGTTTGCAAAATTTGAAAGTTGAAGAATGCGGATTAAGAATGGGTGAGTTAACCATCAAATGCCTTTTGTACGCCGATGATCAAGTTATTCTTGCATCGTCGGCGGCTGAGTTGCAAATGATGGTTACATTAATGAACAGATCATTAAAAGAAAGGGGTATGAAAGTGAACGCTAGTAAGACAAAAATTATGGTTTTTGAAAGAGATGAAAGTAAAACGATATGTGAAATAAGAATAGAAGGGGAGTTGATCGAGCAAGTAGATGAGTTTGTATATTTGGGTTGCGTATTTAGCCGGGATGGGAGATATGATAAGGATATAGAACGACGAGTGAACGCAGGAAACAGAGTAAATGGAGCCCTGCACTCTATTGTGAAGAGTCAAAATCAGGCTACCACCCTATCTATATCTTGTTGTAACTTTTGGCAATCCTCTCTGTTCCTCACAGCAAGATACAGTTTCAGGTCATCTGCAAATAGAGTACAATGAGCATCTTTGACAACCGTTGGAAGGTCATTTATCATCAATATGAATTGCAATGGACCGAGATTGCTGCCCTGACTTACTCCGGACCTAGTTAAATAGTTTTCTGACCTACACCCCGCATATTCTACATACTGTTTTCTGTTCCGCATATAACTAGCAAAAAATGTTAGTAAATGGGGAGTAAATCCTACACCTGCCAGTTTTGTGAGCAGTATGTCATTATCCACTAGGTCGAAAGCTTTTTTGTAATCCAAGAAAGCTACATCTACCTGTCCTCCAGCATCCACTTCAGGTACAATATAATTCATATAATTAATTAGGTTGCTGGTGGTGCTCCTGTCGGGTCTAAAACCGTGTTGCTCATCCGAAAGCTGTACATTAACTTGCGAGAGGACGCTCTTGTGTACTGCAGCCTCCAGTACTTTAGCTGGTGTCGAAAGCACAGCAACCGGCCTATATTGGTCCACGTTTGATGCTGACTTTCCTTTTGATACTGGGACTACCTTGGTTGTTTTCCATCTATCTGGAAACACTGCCTCCGCCAGGCACTGATTAAATATGTAGAGAAGTGGCTTACCAAGTACTAGTCTACAGTCTTTGAAAATGTAGGGCGGTATGCCATCTGGTCCCGTTGACTTTTTTGGCTTGAGTTTTTGCAGAGCGTAAAGTACTTCATCAAGCTTTAGTTGTTCTAAGTGTACCCTAGCCGCACCATTCTTACCACCAGCCTGATTCACTGCCGCCTCCACGTCCAGCTTAGACATCTTAGGGCTAAATACCGAATAAAAATACTGAGCAAACTCAGTAGCACACTGCTCACTAGTAAGTACCTTATTATCTTTTAAAATCTTGCGTGGACTTCTGCTGTCTTTTTTTGAGTTAATGTAAGCCCAGAACGCCTTTGGATTTTCCTGAAACTCACTCTGCATCCGGTCTTTATAATTTTTGTACGTGGAGTTTATGAAATATTTTACATACGTTCTACACTTAGCAAACGCCTCATAATCGGCCCCTGATTTGCTAACCTTAAACTGCCTATGAAGCCTAGCTTTTAATTGTATGTTGCGAATAATGTCTATCGTGTACCACTTGGGGTAACTGTACTCCGAGTTTACACGTCTTCGCTTTTTTCTTGGCACGCAGTCATCCATAACTTTGTTTAAAACCTCATAAAAATAATCTAAACTATTATTTACATCTAACCTATACATTGGCATCCAATCTATGGCCGCTATTAACGAATACATTAACGGAAAGTTTGCTTTATAGAAGTTCCATCCAGTATGCGTCTGATTGCTCCCCTCAGACTCAGCTAGCAGTGGCGCCGGCGCGGGCTGCCCGCCGTACCGCGCACGCCCCCGCTGCACCTCAATGGCGAGCGGAGGATGATGTGGGTCAGGCGGCACGATTGGCTCAGCCGCGCGCACCTCCAATTCTTTTTCCACTGAACGCGTGCTCAAAACAAGATCTAATTGTCGTTCATTGCAATTTCCTATTTTGTTGTACTGGGTGAATTCACAATATGTGCAAAAGTACTCAAAATGATTGCGTACATTTGTTGAGCTAGAATATAAATTAAAATCGCCTATCACTATTAAATCATTGTAGCCATCACGATAATTTTCTATTATACTTAACAACAACATGTATTCATTATCACCACAACTCGGTGGAATGTATACTACACACAACACAAACATGAACTTATTTTGTTGATAAACCGCAGCGCTAACCAGTTCAAATGCGTGATCTTGAATACGTACATCGTTCGGGGTATTTAGTTCCCGCAGCTCGTATCGTGGTGTGGCCACTAAACACGCACCACCCTGCTTGCGTCCGTCTGCCCGATCACACCGAAGTATCATGTATCCAGGTGGGATAAGTTCTGAATCATAGATAGAATTGTTGCATCCTGTTTCTGTTATTGCAAAAAAATCATAACTATGGGAAGAAATTCCCACATAAAAATCGTGTAATTTTGTTCTCAATCCTCTCACGTTCTGATAGTATGTCTTCACAAAATTGAGTGGTTTCTTATTACTTATTGGGTGGTTTACGAAACCACACCCATTCAAAAAATTCAATGTTAACTGCCCAACATTCTGGTTTACATAGTATTTCGTATGAACTTTCTGGAACTCCTATTATAAATGACGCATAGTCTCGTTCCGTCTTATGTTTAATTTTTTCCACTGTTATTTCCGTCTCTTTTCCACATATATTCTTTACATGTCCTTCCAAACTTTCTACTGTAATATCCTTTTTTTAATCGCCAAACATGTAAAAATTTTTTTCCTTTCAGTACCTTCAATATTTCCTGTACCAGTATTTCCTCCTCTTAAGACTTGCCTCTCAGGATATTTCTTTTTTCTGTACAGTTATCCATGATCCTTTCTTTTTGCTAGTTTCCATCTTATTTTCTGTATTATCTGTCGATAGTTGTTCTTTATCAAAACTCTCCGCAGCGGTTTCTATATTACATGTCGGTTTCATGGCCACGCATGCCACTACACGCTTATCTTTGTTTACTGGCTGATTTTTGCTTAGTACCTGCTTTTCGTTTTGTGTGAGTACCTTTGCAAAGGATAAAGTCTCCTTTCTGATTTCCTTAACTGTCTCATTTCTTTCTTTTGTAGGCTGATTTTTGTTCAGACAATTCTTTAATTGCTCATTTTTTTGCTCCAATGTTTTTATCTGCGCTTCTAATTCATCGACTTTGCCTTTTTCTGCACTACTTTCAAAGTATCTCGTAATTTACGCAATTCTGTTTCGGTATCAACAAACCTGTCCTTGAGCAAATTGTACTCCCTTATTTGTTCATCTATTTTAAAGTTCATTTCAAATCTAAATTCTTGCAATTCTTGCAGTATTTTACTACTGATATCCAATTCTATAACTTCTTTTGGAAACATCCTATTGCCTCGGTCTGAGTTTACATAGCAAGGGGTAGAAGTTTGATTCATTATATTCTGGTTACCTCGAACTGGTGTGTCCGAATTATCCCGTTTCGGTGCACTGCAAACACACTCCGGGCATCTCCAATTGCACTTGTATTCTTCGGTAAACGCTTCGTATTTATCCTTCGTCAGAGCCAAGCACTTAAGATGGTACAATTTATTGCATCCATCTCTTGCACATTCCATGTACGAAATGTCGTATATTACGGCATCACAGCCGTTACATTTTCGATCCATTTATTTGAAAAATACACGTTTTCCGCTATTAATTATTTTTCCGCTAATAATAATTTTGTTGACATCTGTCAAGGTGGCAGCTATGTCTCTGCTTTCAGTTTACTTTTACAAACCACTATAAGGTCTAAATAAATGAGATATATAATATAGATATATAATTATAAAGGAGATGTGCGCTTTACATGATATTAACATTCACTTCACGACTCCATACAATCCAAATTCAAACTCACCGATAGTACGTTTTCATTCGACCATAGGAGAGATTATCAGAATCCAACGAATGACAAACAAAGATGACCCAATACAATTAATCATGAAATTTTCAGTCATTGCTTACAATAACTCAATCCACTCAGCAACAGAATATACTCCACACGAGTTACTATTTGGACATACAGCATCTAGAAATCCACTAGAGTTACATTACCCTAAGCAGTTTTACCAGGACTATGTTATCAAGCACAAAATGCATGCAGAAGCTGTTCAGGAGTGTGTGTCAGCGCACATGGCCAAAAACAAGGAACAGGTAATAGCGAAGCGAAACCAGGCAGCAGAGGAAATAACATTCAAGGTAGGTGAAACAGTTTATAAGCAGGTGGCCAAAACAGCGAGAAACAACAAAACTAAACCGGTATTTAAAGGACCCTTATAAAAGGATATTTATAAGATTATTCACTTACATCCTAATAATGTAGCAGAGATAGTAGGAAATCACCCTAATTCTAAGTCCATTCGGGTACATTTCAAACTTCTACGAAGACCCCATCTTGTTCCAGGACAACCATCTTCGGAGCCTTCGTGTTCCAGGCAAGATCCGACATAACATTTCAACCCGTAGACAATACGAACGGAGTTCTATTACTTAGACAAGGTCATATTCTGAAACAGACTGATTCCTTCAACCTTGCTTGTGTGTATAATGTTACCTACTTGAATCTAGTATCGATAAAATTAATGGCATTATACGCAAGTTACACAAAACATATAGGGACCAGATAGAACATAAGTTAGATTTAATTAGTAAGAAATTAATTTTTATTGCACCTAGAATTAGATTTAGACGCGGTATTATAAATGGACTATTTTCGTAGTGAAATTAATAACCGGTAATTTAGATAACGAAGACGCTATTCGATTTGAAAACGAAATCAACAAAATTCGTAATTCGGTCCATAAAACCCAAAGCTCACAGAAGCGAACGCTATCTTTGGCTGAGAATACCATAAAGGAATTTTCGAAACAACTAAGCAAGATAGATGATAACCAAAAAAGATTAACATCTATACTGAAAAACATTACAATTAATTCCGATACAGTAAGAAACCATCTGCACTTTTTAGAGATATACGTTCAAATAAGTTTTAGTTTACATATTATTTTAGATAAGTTAATGCTGCTCGAAGATGCTATGGCATTTTCGCAATTAGGTATAATGCACCCTAGTATTATAAGCACACGTAATTTAATTTCGGAACTCAGTAATTTGCAGAATAACTTTTCACTATATCCAGTCGAGGAGATTAGTATTGAAAATATTCATAAGATAGAAAAGTCTATTAGCGTGAAAGTCTATAGCACAGAACATTCTTTAACATTTACATTAGAAATCCCATCTATCCAACCTACATTATACGATTATATACATATATATTCCTTGCCAAACAACCTAAACCTAACCATTATACCCAAATCCAAATTTCTCGCACTTGGGAGCGATGAGTACGCCTACCTGGAAGAAGATTGCAAGAAGCTGTCAGAAGACACCTGCCTCTGCCAATCACTGGATACTAGAGCCATAGAGAAATCTGAAGATTGCATCATCTCACTCATCAAGCATAAATATGGTAACTGCACTCGGGCACGTATGAATCTGAAGCGAGGAAAATTGCAGAAGATTAAAGAAAATAAGTGGTTGGTAGTATCAACGGAACCAGAAATTATAAAAACCCAATGCGGACAGAAAACAGAGTATAGGAAACTATCAGGAACATTCTTTATCAACCTAACACAGGACTGTCAAGTTAATGTCATGAATACAACGATAAGAACACACACTAGCAACATCTCTATGGACGAAGTCATCCCTCTACCCAACGAGAACCTAATACACCAGGAAGAAGTCCAGTAAGAGATACATCTGGAAGACATCTCACTAGATAGTGTCCATTAACTTATGAACAAGGTTGAAGATATTCAAGAAATAGAAACCTGGAACTGGTCATATATGATGGCAATTCCCAGCTGGTCTACAGTGCTCCTCTACATACTAGCAGCATCTATTGCAATCTGGAAGATATACAATTGGAACAACAAGCGTCCAAGCAAAGCAAGTCGCGAGGACGCTCCTGGAAGCTGCAAAACCAGCTTCCAACTTAAGAAGGGAAGAGTTAACGTGTCGTAACCCTGGAATCGGGCTGACATAGCAGTTGAACATAGCAATGAACATATGTGAAACGCTTGCGCTGCAAAAAGTATCATCGTGGAAACAATGCAACTGTCTCGCAGTCTGACACCATGCACGCATAACTTAACTTCTTTTGTAAATTTATCATTTGTTTGAATTAGTTATTTTTGTTACTTTTCTGAAATTAAATTAATTATATTTTTTAAAAAATCTTTCAATCGCCCCCATATCGTAACTCTCGATGGTTTATTTTTGCTATTCCTCCATCCTTGTTGAAATGTACAAGCTTCCAACGGTTCAATGTTTTCAGTGCTGCAGATTTGGACATACGAAAGATTTATTTCGTTCCAAGCCAAGATGCTAAAAATGTGATCACACTTCTTTTTCTTGCAAAAAAGACCATAGGTCCTTTCGTTTTATTTTGCTCAGATAACCACAAAGCCACATACAAAATAATATAAAAATTGAAATGGCACAAAATTCAATATCGTACCTAGAAGCATCACAAAAATATCCCCAAGTTTCTTCAAAATCATATGCTGATGTCCTGATTAAAGAAAACTCTGAAATCTTTGATTTCTACTAATCTTACAACGGATCATTTTTCTTCCCAACCTGATTAAACTTCTCATTCTTATAAGAAGAAGTATTTATTACTAAATTGTTCCGTCACTATTCACAAACAGAATACGACAAAAATTTATCAAAAATTTATTGAAGATTTTGCAATTCCGTAACCAGCCAGGCTAGCATGGGCAAGAGACAATATATCCACGGGGAAAGGATAAAATTTTTTTCCCTTGCTCAGTTTTATCCATCCTGCGAGCATGGGCAGGAGACAAAAATTATATCCACTGACAAGAGATAAAATTATCTTATCCCTATAGTATTGTTACGAGCTCGAGGTTCGTGACAATAAAACTGCCGATTGAATTACCAAAATTTACAATTTTATTACCGAACATCAATTAAAACTTAAAACACTAATAATTAATCACACTGATTCACTTTATTCGCTCCGAAGCTTCGCTTGTCTCGTTAAATTCAATACTGCCCCGATCGCGGCTTGCAGCGGCTTTAAGTACACCTTTTACACCGAAACATCCAGAATATTCCAGTAAATACGAGCGCTGACAGACCAGAGGCAGAAAGTTCGAGTGTAGGGCTTCCTAGATAATGTCAATCTTGAACTTTCGACCAACAGCGCCATCTAGTATCGAACAGAAGAATTAAGCTCTCCCTAGTCAGCAGCTCCTACACCTGCAGCACCTGACTTAGGTGCTCTCATGATGATGCTGCAGGAACAGGCCCACCGACAGGAGGAACAGGCCCGTTGGTTGAAAGAGCAGCAGGAGGAACAGGCCCGCCAGCAGGCAGAACAGGCACGCCGATTAGAAGAGCAGCTGCAGCGCGGACAAGAGGAACAGGCCCGTCGGTTGGAAGATCAGCAAGCGGAACAGGCTCGTCGGTCGGAAGAGCAGATGTTCCTCATGAAGGACCTTCACGGTACCTTTGGGAAAGAGATAAGGGAGGTAAAGGATAGGGTTGCTCAACATGACAACCGCCTATCGGAAGCTGAAACCCGAATAAACCATGTGAACAATCGGGTTGACAACGTAATGGCTGACGTGAAGAAAACGCTGAACGACCTCAAATTTGGGGATGGAACTACAGCTCCCGTAGTAGCTACAACACCTTCGCTACGTGGATTCAAAGTGCCGCAGTTCGACGGGAGTTCTTCCTGGTCGGCCTAAAAATCCAGTTCGAGGCCGTCATGGAGGCGAACGGCAGGAATAAAAGCCAGGCCATGACTGCACTCACCCTAGGCCTGCACAACCAAGCCTTAACTGTGTTGGAAGCTCTAGGTAAGAAAGTGACCTACGAACAGCTCCTTGAGGCATTAGAGGCGAGATATGGCGATGATCACCTGGAACACGTCTTTCGTGCGCAGTTTAAAGATCGCGTGCAACGCAGCAACGAAAACCTGCAGCAGTGGGCCCTTGAAGTGGAGAAGATGGTTCGAAAAGCATACCAGTCTGTACCTGCGCTCATTGAAGGGAACCTGGTGCAGACATTCATCGACGGCATCCGCGACCTTGAAGTCAGAGCTGCTGTTAGGCTCGGGCACCACGAGACGCTTAAGAACGCCTTGGTGTGTGCATGGGGCACTGGAGGTGGAAGCCGTGCGGCAGGATCTTCATTTCCATCGCGTCAGGGAGATAGCAGCAGCTACAGTTCGCAACCGCAATAATGGATACAGCCCTAGGTGCTATGGCTGTGGGGAAAGGGGTCATCTTCGATCCAGCTGTCCTAAGCGAACTGTAGAAAGGGCAGTTGATTGATCTCGAGAGGGTAGTGCAGCTAACGGCACCGCCTGGCGGCGGCAGGATCGTCGTTCCCCTCACGGTAGGGAGGTTGCAGCAGTTACGGTTCACGACCACAATAAAAATTACAGCCCAAAGTGCTACGGTTGTGGGGAAAGGGGCCATCTTCTATCCAGCTGCCCTAAGCGATTTGTAAAAAGGGAAGGTGATCGATCTCGAGAGGGCTGTGCGGCTAACAGCACCACCCAGCAGCAGGAATACGACTTTGCGATTGAACACCGCAGCGGGAAATCGTATGGCAGCGCAGATGCCTTTTTAAGGAGATCTTGTCCTGAAGATTGCAAGCACTGTACTAGGCAAGAGAGTAAGGAAGTGGTATCCGTGAGGATGCTCAGGACAGACCACCTCTGCAACGAGTGGAAGGACAGCTTACAACATGTACAGCAGGAAGATCCGGACATCAAGCCGATTCTGGAACGGATGAAGGCCCGTGCTACTAAGCCCAAGTGGAGCGACGTCTCAGCTATGAGTTAGACGACTAAAAGCTATTGGGCCCAATGGAACAGCTTGCTGATTCAGGATGGAGTCCTGTGCCGTAAATGGGACAATGGTCGAGGAGACAGCTGTCGTTTGCAAACGGTTGTCCCTAACGCTAAAGTGCCGAATGTTCTACAGCTCTACCATAATGGTTGTTCAGGAGTCCATCTGGGAGTTAAACGAACTCTACTGAAGATCCGAGAACAGTTTTACTGGGTCCATTATCGTGACGATGTCGAGGATTGGTGTTGCACATGTACAAGTTGTGCGGCTGTGAAGGGAACTCAGACACGTAGTAGAGCAGCATTGAAATCGTATAATGTTGGTGCACCATGGGATAGGACAGCCCTTGACATTGCGGAGCCATTTCAGAAAGGCGCAAGAGGGACTCCTAAGAACGTCCATGTGGATCGCCTGGCGCGTTATTATGGGGCCGATAATGCTCGGGACGAGCATGTCTTAGGAGGGGGCAGTGTTGCGCGCCTAAGTTGACTTTAGCTTAGGCGCGCAACGGTATATTCCCGTTTGACATAACGAGTAGATATATATCTCCCCTTCCGTAGCATGGGGCCAAAGGAAAGAGAAAAAATTATCCTTTTTTGACATTTGAAAGAGACAATTATCCTCGTTCATGGACGTGGGTTTAAGTTTATCTTCAAACCATTTTAATATAAAAAAGATGTCTTGAGCCTAATGCAACTACATTTTCGTATCACAAAATGGAAAAACAAGAAACAAAACTACATCGGCGATCGATACGTGATCGGAGAACTTAATAATTAAAATAGGATGGTAAAAAAGTGGACCTTATAGCTATACTAAATCTAATATGTAAAATTAACAACATACAGAGATGTTCTATCAAATATAGAATAAAACAGGTTGGGCATGAAATAAAGTTAAGAGAAGAAAAAAAAGTAAAATGGATATAAATCAATGTATTCCTAACTATTAGGCCGCGTTCAGATGACACGCGTCGACCACGCGCAGGACCCGCACACGCGTTGTGCCCGCATTAAACCTGCGCTGGCCACGCGCACGCCTCGCGCACATCCCGCGCACGCATAAACTACTAGTGACTGGACTACTTTGTTCAGTAGACGTAGTGGCTTCCAGGTGTCACAACGTGAGAACGTTTGAAATAAAATGTACAGGCCTGTTGGTCTAGTGGTTAATGACCCTGACTGCTATGCCGGAGGTCGTGGGTTCGATTCCCACCCAGGACAAATGTTTGTGTGATGAGCACGATCATTTGTTCTGTGTCTGGGTGTAATTTATCTATAATATTTATGTATTTAGAAATATATAAGTATGTTTATCAGTTGTCTAGTACCCATAACACAAGCTCTGCTTAGCTTGGGACTAGATGGCGTTGTGTGATAGTTGTGTGATAGTTGTGGAATATTATTATTATTTCTGTGGGGTATCTATATAGTTTTCTCATCTGGTTGGGTTCTATAAATATATAATTATAAATGAAAATGAAAAGACAAATATACATAAATATCAATAACATAAAATAAATATAAAAGTACATAAATAAGTAAAAGCCCAACCAGATGGAGGCCCTCGGCAGGGGAGACCAAACGGCCGAGGGTTAGGGGGAAAGGGAAAGAAACCGGCGGACGATGCGGGCGGTATCGAGGAGCACCGCCTTCTGCATTTGAACCTGGAGCGGTCCGCCACGTAGTCCCAGCCGCCTCAGATGACCCGAGAGGCTGACTGGGATTAGCCCGTTTGCAGAGACGACTACAGGAATAATTTCGGTCGGCAGACCACCCCACATGTCGGTCACCTCGTGAGCCAGGTCCAGATATTTTGTTTGCTTGTCTGTTTCGGCTTTCACGAGGTTCTCGTCATACGGAATGGTAATGTCGACCAAAAATATCCTTGACTGTGCCCGGTCCATCAGCACAATATCAGGCTTATTCGCTAGAATAGTCCTGTCTGTGATGATGGTCCGGTCCCAATAGAGCCTGGCGCGATCATTTTCGAGCACGGCTTCCGGCAAGTACTTGTAATACGGCAATTTCCGATCCACGAGACCGTATTTCAGAGCGAGCTCCTGGTGTAGAATTCTGGCTACTAGGTTGTGCCTGTGCAAGTACTCAGAGTTAGAAAGCGCCGAACAACCGGAGATAACATGCCTAAGTGACTCACCGGAATGGCGACAAGCTAGACAGATGTCGACGGTGCCATCCTTTAGGATGTATCTCCGATAGTTGTTGGTCTTAATAACCTGATCCTGTATTGCACAGACAAAACTCTCGGTTTCCCCGAAGAGATCACCAAAGCGTAGCCAGTGGAGGGAGGCTACTGTGTCTAGGAAAGGCTCATGTAGAGCCTTGTAGAACCTCCCGTGGAGCTCCTTCTCCTTCCGGCCTACGGTCTCCCGGTCGGAAATGCTCTGCACTGCCGGGTCTTGCCATTGCTCGTTGGCTAAGGATAGAGGGGGTAAGTCCTTTATCACAAGAAATGACGTCCTTATAGAATGGATCATCCGATCTCGCAAGGAAGTAATCACGGAGGCTGCACACTTCGCGATTATGCATGGTGAGCGCGCTCAAGAAGCCACGACCACCATGCTTCCGCGGCAAGTACAGCCTCATTACCGACGATCTCGGATGATGCATCCTATGGGACGTCATGGTAGTGCGGACTTTTCTATCCAGGGCGTTAAGTTCAGTCTGAGTCCACCTGAGTATGCCAAAGGTATACATGAGGACAGGCATGACCCAACCGTTATATGGGTGTACCTTATTCACACCGGACAAAAGGCTGTTAAGCACTTTGGTCAAGCGTGCATAAAACACGTCGCAAACTGATTGTTTCATACCAGCCTCATCGATACAGATGTTCTGTGACATACCCAGGTATCGGTATGTTTCAATATCGGAAAGGGTTCTTAAATTGACGGGCTATGCCCTCAGAGTTAGCAACCCTTCCCCTTTCAACATGAAGGACCGCACACTTATCCGTCCCCAGCTCCATTCTAATAGAATTGCTAAATTCACACGTGATGTTTAGCAATTCCATAAGATGGGAGCGACTGGAGGCGAATAATTTGAGGTCATCAATATAGAAAAGGTGGGTCACTTTTGTACCTCCTTTCCGAAACTGAAATCCCCTCCCGGAGCCCTCCAGTAAAGTACTGAGAGGGTTCAAAGAGAGGCAGAACCAGATTGGACTCAGACAGTCGCCCTGGAATATACCCCTTCTTATCCTTATGCGGCTTTCCGCAGCCGTCATCCGCTCGCCTAGATGACAGAGGATCGTACTCCACTGCCCCATACACTGCTCGAGGAAGTCTCGAACTGTACAGTCAATCTTGTACAGCTCGAGGACCCTCTTTAGCCATGTATGGGGCACCGAGTCAAATGCCTTTCTGTAATCTATCCAGGCGGCGGAAAAGTTCCGACGGTTGCGTTTCACCACTTTGCCAATGACCGCGTCAATGAGGAGTGGTTCCTTGGTTCCACGACCGCCGCCCCGACATCCATTTTGAGCGCGCGACATCACCTGATTTAAGTCCAGGTGACGAGCGATTCTTGTGCTCAAAATGGATGTTAGTGTCTTGTATATGGTCGGTAGACACGTGATGGGGCGGTATTTGCTCGGGTCTGTGGCACCCTGATCTTTAGGAACCAAATGAGTGATCCCAGTAGTGAAGAGGCTTGGGAGCGACTTCTGGTTGAGAGCCTCTTGAAACTGTCGGGCGAGCACAGAGTGACACACCATGAACCCCTTCAGCCAGTAGTGATGCAGCCCGTCAAGCCCCGGACTTTTCCAGTTCGGGGCCCTACGGACCGCCTCAGCTACGTCATCCGGCGTTATGATGACGGGGTCCATGGGCGTAATACTCGCACACTGACTCGCCACAACTTCCGTCCAAGGGCCCTCGTTGTGGTTTACGGGCTCTGACCACAGGCTGCGCCAGAATGCGACCATGTCGGCCTGATTTGGTGCAGGGCCCGTTCCACTTACTATTGGTCGCTCCAATGATTTATAGAGCCTCTTCTGATCACTCTGGAAGAGACGATTCTGGTTGAACCGTGTCGACCTCTCGGTATATCGCCGAATCCGCTTTCCCCAAGCAGCTATTCTTTGCTTCAGGTCGTCTATGCGTTCCGTCAGTTTTTGCATTATATCCGGCTGGGACAAACTAACATTTGTCCCAGCAAACGCCATCCTGACGGTGCGCACAATCCTTGGCCTGGTATTGCCTGACCTGAAGCATATCAGTCTGCCGATGAGGGCCCTAGCCTTTGCGATACGTTCTTCAATTCTTATTCTCCAGGCTGGGATAGCACTACTTTGTCCAGTAGCGCGTCCAGCCGTGGAAAGTTTGGCACCTATAATACGGCAGACTGCCAGTGCGGCGCCAAAAAGGATTGAGTCCGTATCGCAAAGGTCCCGGCTGGCTTCCAAATAGGTAACCAGCATTGGGTTCAGAGCCCTCACGACAGCCCGATTCCGCTTGCTTAGGGCTAAGCGGGGAAGTCGCGGTCGATTTTCGAGAGTCGTACTGCGCGTTTCCACAATCGCCTCTTCCAATGTACTCCTCATTTGCTCTAGTTCCAGTTCCTGGGCGACTGTTCCATCATCGTTTGAATCAACCACAACTGGCGTATTCACGGCGGCATCCACATTTGCCGTTTGCTCAGCAAGTTGTGGCGCCGCATCCTCAGCCGCAGCATTTTCACCCGATGAAGGAACAGCCTCACGTCGTAGCCGTTCGAGTTCGGTGACATCAAATGTATTTGAGCGCAAGATATACCGAACTCGGTCTGCCAGGTTTTGCTCGGTGACGGTTACAGATGGCTCCAGCTCAGCAAAAAGTCGATGCATCCTTGCCCGATACGCAAAACCTCCAGTTTCTCCCCCTTTCGCCCTAAAATACGCCCGCAATGCGTTGCTGTTCATTTGGGTTGTCCAACGCATGCGGCGTACTCCACCAGTGGCGGGTGCCGATTGCTGAGCCCGCGAAGACCCTGCCGACACCAAGCCAGCTGGTGGGGATGATGGATGCGAGGAGCTGCTGGGTGGTCGTGCAGCACCTCGCGCTCGGCTGGCGGTTCGCATGCTGCCGCGTCCAGCGCCAGCTTCAGACGCGCCCTGGCGACCTCCAGGCAGCGGCCCTTTGCGCGTTCCATTTGATTCCATCATCCATTTTAGGGCGTCATTTAGCGGGAGACGCCCAGACCCGGCGCCGTTTCATGGTTAGGCCATGTGCACAAGCGGGCCTTGGCACCTTCAATTTTTGCCGAGGCACGGCACTAACACCTCTTGGCAAGGTGCTGACTGACTGCGCCGATGTAGCGGTTTTGTCACATAACCGTTATATCAGCGGGCGATGGGGTCGTCACTTCCCTACGCCTTTTTATTATTATTATTATTATTATTATTTGACTAAGTCAAACAAAGTTCTAATTATATACTATATGTATAAACAATGGAAGAAAAAAGTAAAATGGATATAAATCAATGTATTCCTAACTATTAGGCCGCGTTAAGATGACACGCGTCGACCACGCGCAGGACCCGCACACGCGTTGTGCCCGCATTAAACAATTAATTAATCAAACCTGCGCTGGCCACGCGCACGCCTCGCGCACATCCCGCGCACGCATAAACTACTAGTGACTGGACTACTTTGTTCAGTAGACGTAGTGGCTTCCAGGTGTCACAACGTGAGAACGTTTGAAATAAAATGTACAGGCCTGTTGGTCTAGTGGTTAGTGACCCTGACTGCTATGCCGGAGGCCGTGGGTTCGATTCCCACCCAGGACAAATGTTTGTGTGATGAGCACGATCATTTGTTCTGTGTCTGGGTGTAATTTATCTATAATATTTATGTATTTAGAAATATATAAGTATGTTTATCAGTTGTCTAGTACCCATAACACAAGCTCTGCTTAGCTTGGGACTAGATAGCGTTGTGTGATAGTTGTGGAATATTATTATTATTTACGGTAAGTGTTTTCACTTCTCAGCTCTAGGCTGGATTTCAACTACATTTACGGGCCGAAGCCAAAGCAAATGCAGCGTGTGGTGTGTAGTGTAGTTCATGTGATTTGATGAGGTCCTATTTCGTTTTCTTCTATCTGCATGAATTTCCTAACTATTCTGCATGTATTTAATATAGCTGCTTTTTGAAGTGTAATATATAGAGTTTCTTTTAGTTGTAATAATTTTAAGCTACGGAGGAGATGATTTGGGATGACACCTGTTGTGGAGAGGACTATAGGGACCACATATACTTTTTCTTGTTGCCAGATTCTAGTCACTTCATCTTTAAGTTCTGCGTACTTACAAATTTTTTCAGTTATCGTCTTCTGCAAGTTGTGTGTGTTGGGGACTGCAATGTCTATCAGGTAAGTAATATTATTTATTTTATCTTGTAGAATTATATCTGGTCGGTTATAGTGGATTGTCCTATCGGTGAGAATGCCGCGGTCGTAAAAAAGTTTATGTGTGGTGTTTTCTAGAGTATGTTTTGGTGTATAATTGTAGTACGGAGTGTTGGCATCTGGAATGAGTGCGTGTTTGAGTGCTAGTTTTTGATGAATGACATTGGCCACCTGATTGTGTCTGTGAGTGTAGTCAGTCTGTGTGAGAGTTGTGCATGCGCCTGTGATGTGTTGAATGGTTTCTGGATGTGTGTGGCATTTGCGACATTTGTCATTATTTACTGTAGGATCTTTGATTATATATTTTCTGTAATTTTTTGTGTTTATGATCTGGTCTTGAATAGCTATTATAAATCCTTCTGTTTCTGGAAATAAGTTGCCTATTTTCAGCCACTTATTTGAAGCTAACTTATTTATGTGGGATTGCTCTAAGTCATGAGGGTGCCGACCGTGGAGAACTTTCTTCTTCCATTCGTCAATTTTGTGTGTCTGTGGGTTATCACTAGTAGTGTTTTGGGATTCAATCTGATTGCTTAAGTTGTTAGTTAATATCATTCGTTACGATGGCTTTATGAATATTGCTAGTATGGGATTTTGTATAGAAGAATGATTTTAATCGACTAACTTGTTTCCGCCATAGGTGCTGGATATCCATTAGGCCTCTCCCTCCATGTTCTCGTTTTATTGTTAGTCTCTCTATGGCGGATTTAGGGTGTAGGTTATTGTGTTTCGTGAGTGTTGTACGTGTAGTTCGCTCTAATTGTTCTGCATCAGTTTTGGACCATTTTATAACTCCGAATGAGTACGTTAATATGGGGATGGCATAGGTGTTAATGGCTTTGATGAGATGTTTACTTGAAAGTTGAGTTTTAAAAACGGCGTTAAGTCTTCTCTTGTATTCCGTAGTGAGAGAATTTTTAATTCGTACGTGGTCAAGACTTTTAAGTTGGACATACCCTAAATATTTGTATAAGTCAGTCGATTCCATTGCTGTAATAGCCTCCGTTTCATTTACCACATAGTCGCCGGGCCTTACTTTGCCTCTTACAATGTGAAGTGTTTTACATTTATCTAAACCAAAATGCATATTAATATCGCTACTGAATTCTGTTGTTATATCTATTAATTTCTTCATATCCTTGTCTGTTTTTGCATATAATTTGATGTCGTCCATGTATATAAGATGCGATATTGTTGTTTCGTCTGTATTAAGTTTGAGGCAATATCCGGCCCCGCAGCTCTGCAGCAAATGAGACAGAGGGTTTAGGGCGAGACAGAACCACAGTGGGCTCAGGGAGTCACCTTGGTAGATGCCTTTTGTGATTGAGATTTGTCGCGTGGTGACAGTATTTTGGTTACAATTTATTTGTAGTGTTGTTTTCCATTGTAACATTATTCGGCGTAAGAAATCGATTATTTTCGGATTTATTCTATAAATTTCTAATATTTTTAATAACCATGAATGAGGAACACTGTCAAACGCTTTTTTTATAATCAATATAGGTGCAATGTAAATTTCTATTTTTAGAGGTGGCGTGTTTATGAATAGTGGAATCAATTATCAGCTGTTCTTTACATCCCATGTGGCCCTGTCTACATCCCTTCTGTTCTTCTGCTATTATATTGTGGTGTTCAATGTGCGACTGAATTTTCTTTGTGATAGCAGATGTCAATATTTTGTAAATTGTGGGTAGGCATGTAATTGGTCGGTATTGGGAAGGCTGAGGTGAATTTTTTGTTTTAGGTAGCATATAAGTAATTCCTGTTGCAATAAATTCGGGAGTGTTCTGTTGTCCTGTTATTATATCTGTTAAATTTCTTGCTAAAGGTTTGTGTAGAGACGTTAATTTTTTGTACCAAAAATTATGAATTTTGTCTATACCAGGTGATTTCCAATTATGTAACCTAGCTGTAATGAGTGTTATGTCTAACTCTGTTACCTCTTCGAATTCCATTTCGTCAATATCTCTCCATTTTGCTTCCTCTTCAATTATCCAAGATGCTTTGTCGTTATGTTGTTTTTGCTCTTCCCAAATACTCGCCCAATATGCTTCTAGTTGTTCTTTTGTAGGTAGGTTAGGTGTATGTGTGTTACGTTCATCGATTATGTCTGTTTGTGGTTTGTGTAAGTTTCTATAAAACAATTTTTCGTTTGTGGCAAATCTGACGTTATCTTTTTTGCGCTGTTGTGCTTTTTTATACCTTTTGAGCCTATGAACTTTAAGTGCTAATTTTTGTTTTAACGTGTCTAAAAATTCTTCAGGTCTTGTGTTACTTTTTTCGTGTCTGGTATGCGTAGCATTATTCCTAAATATGACCTCTACTTTTTTGACTAGTTTATTAGATCTACAACCGTTAATATACTGAGTGAGTCTACCTATGTTTGCTCTTAATTTTTCAATGTCTTTTTCTAGTCTCTGTTGCCATGCTGGTTCTGTATTTTGTCTTGTTCTTGTAGTTCTTGCATTGTCTGTGATTTTAAAGTTCAATTCTTCGGATATTACTATCGCTGTGCAGTATATAAGTAAATGTATGTCTATAAGTTGTGTGTCATCAGATATATATTGTGTGAGTATAGTTTCATTAAATAAATTAACCAGTCGAAACAGGTTAGGTGTGTACTTAAGTTTAGGTAATCTTGGTCGCGCTGCGGGATCCATCCCAGAGTATAACGTTATTGTTGTTCTAAATTTCTCATTGATTTCTTGGATATATGTATCTGTTGTTAAGTGTTGATCTGGGACAACTATGGTCTCAATATCATTTTCTAGCGTTAGGATTACGGTTTCGGTTTGTGTGGATGTGTGTGATATTTGTGAATGGTCGCATGGCTGAGATTGTGTATAAATGAGTTGTGATTGACTGAGCAATTGTGGTTGTACTTGGCGATCATTTTCACTTGTGTTTTGTGTGATATTAGTTTCTACATAGCTGTTAGTCGCTTCTTCTTGAATTAATTGTGTTCGTACTTCTTCTTTTAATTGATCTATAACTTCTTGGGATAGAAGTTTATTCCTAACTATGGTTCTTCTTTGGTCTGAGATTCTTTGTTCTGAAACAGTAATTTCTGGATATTGTCGAGTGAAATGTGCGTGTAATTGTTGTCTGTACGTGGTCATATCGGTCTCTAATTTAGTAATGTATAGATAAGTTCTCATGATAAATAGATTTACTTCTTTACTCCATTTCATTCGAACTCTTGCTTTTTCAGCCTTGGTGGACGCGGGTAAGAAGGTAGATACCTCCCGCGCAGCACTCAAGGTCGGAGTAGGTGGAACTGTTTTTAAACTAGTAATAGGGGGTGACGGAGGTGTTGGTGACGATGGTATGGATGGTGATGTTGGCCTCGAGGGTGTGTATGATACTGTGCTTGGACTATATGGTTCTACAGGGGTGTCTGTCCTGTCCGTCAGTCTGTCACCATCGTCAATGAGTTCGGCTGTAGTATCTTTGTGGGTGGGAGCCCGCCTGTTCAACTCCTCACCGCTGACGGATCGCATGCTGTGACACCCAGCGTCAGCTCCAGGTGCACCCCGGCGATCGCCCCCGGGTAGCGGCCCTATACGTTTACTTTTAGAACGAGTCTCCATTTTATTTATGGGTTTCCAGAGCCACGTTAGCCACGCCAGTAATTTCTCATTCGTGTGTCCGCCCCCCACGTGATTAGATGGTCAATCAGGACGTGTGGTTGTTTAGGGGGCTTATTATTATTATTATGTGGGGTATCTATATAGTTTTCTCATCTGGTTGGGTTGTATAAATATATAATTATAAATGAAAATGAAAAGACAAATATACATAAATATCAATAAAATAAAATAAATACGAAAATACATAAATAAATAAAAGCCCAACCAGATGGAAGCCCTCGGCAGGGGAGACCAAACGGCCGAGGGTTAGGAGGAGAGGGAGAGAAACCGGCGGACGATGCGGGCGGTATCGAGGAGCACCGCCTTCTGCATTTGAGCCCGGAGCGGTCCGCCACGTAGTCCCAGCCGCCTCAGATGACCCGAGAGGCTGACTGGGATTAGCCCGTTTGCAGAGACGACTACAGGAATAATTTCGGTCGGCAGACCACCCCACATGTCGGTCACCTCGTGAGCCAGGTCCAGATATTTTGTTTGCTTATCTGTTTCGGCTTTCACGAGGTTCTCGTCATACGGAATGGTAATGTCGACCAAAAATATCCTTGACTGTGCCCGGTCCATCAGCACAATATCAGGTTTATTCGCTAGAATAGTCCTGTCTGTGATGATGGCCCGGTCCCAATAGAGCCTGGCGCGGTCATTTTCGAGCACGGCTTCCGGCAAGTACTTGTAATACGGCAATTTCCGGTCCACGAGACCGTATTTCAGCGCGAGCTCCTGGTGTAGAATTCTGGCTACTAGGTTGTGCCTGTGCAAGTACTCAGAGTTAGAAAGCGCCGAACAACCGGAGATGACATGCCTAAGTGACTCCCCGGGATGGCGACAAGCTCGACAGACGTCGACGGTGCCATCCTTTAGGATGTATCTCCGATAGTTGTTGGTCTTAATAACCTGATCCTGTATTGCACAGACAAAACCCTCGGTTTCCCCCGAAGAGGTCACCGAAACGTAGCCAGTTGAGGGAGGCGACTGTATCTACGAAGGGCTCATGTAGAGCCTTGTAGTACCTCCCGTGGAGCTCCTTCTCCTTCCATACGGTCTCCCGGTCGGAATTGCTAAGCACTGCTGGGTCCTGCCATTGCTCGTTGGCTAAGGATAGAGGGGTAAGCCCTTTATCACTAGAAATGACGTCATTATAGAATGGATCATCCGATCTCGCCAAGAAGTACTGACGGAGACTGCACACTTCGCGATTATGCATGGTGAGCGCGCTCAGAAAGCCACGCCCACCATACTTTCGCGGCAAGTACAGCCTCATTACCGACGATCTCGGATGATGCATCCTATGGGACGTCATGGTAGTGCGGACTTTTCTATCCAGGGCGTTAAGCTCAGTCTGAGTCCACCTGAGCATGCCAAAGGTATACATGAGGACAGGCATGACCCAGCCGTTATATGCGTGTGTCTTATTCACACCGGACAAAAGGCTGTTAAGCACTTTGGTCAAGCGTGCATAAAACACGTCGCAAACTGACTGTTTCATACCAGCCTCATCGATACCGATGTTCTGTGACATACGCAGATATCGGTATGTTTCAGCCTCGGAAAGGGTCCTTAAGTTGACGGGCATAGACAAGTCTATGCCCTCAGAGTTAGCAACCCTTCCCCTTTCAACATGGAGGACCGCACACTTATCCGTCCCCAGCTCCATTCCAATGGAACTGCTAAATTCACAAGTGATGTTTAGCAGTTCCATAAGATGGGAGCGACTGGAGGCGAATAACTTGAGGTCATCCATATAGAAAAGGTGGGTCACTTTTGTCCCTCCTCTCCGTAGCTGAAATCCCCTCCCGGAGCCCTCCAGTAAGGTACTGAGAGGGTTAAGAGAGAGGCAGAACCAGATTGGACTCAGACAATCGCCCTGGAAGATACCCCTTCTTATCCTTATGTGGTTCTCCGCAGCCGTCATCCGCTCGCCCAGATGACAAAGGATCGTACTCCACTGCCCCATACACTGCTCGAGGAAGTCTCTAACTGTACAGTCAATCTTGTACAGCTCGAGGACCCTCTTTAGCCATGTATGGGGCACCGAGTCGAACGCCTTTCTGTAGTCTATCCAGGCGGCAGAGAAGTTCCGACGGTTGCGTTTCACCACTTTGCCTATGAACGCGTCAATGAGGAGTGGTTCCTTAGTTCCACGACCACCGCCCCGACATCCATTTTGAGCGCGTGACATCACCTGGTTTAGCTCCAGGTGACGAGTGATTCTCGCGCTCAAAATGGATGTCAGTGTCTTATATATGGTGGGTAGACACGTGATGGGGCGGTATTTGCTCGGGTCTGTGGTATCCTGATCTTTAGGAACCAAGTGAGTGATCCCAGTAGTGAAGAGGCTCGGGAGTGACTTCTGGTCGAGAGCCTCTTGAAACTGTCGGGCGAGCACAGCGTGACACACTACGAACCCCTTCAGCCAGTAATGATGCAGCCCGTCGAGCCCCGGACTTTTCCAGTTCGGGGCCCTACGGACCGCCTCAGCCACGTCTTCTGGCGTTATGGTGATGGGGTCCATAGGCGTAACACTCGCACCCTGGCTCGCCACAACTTCCATCCAAGGGCCCTCACTGTGGTTTACGGGCTCTGACCACAGGCCACGCCAGAATGCGATAATGTCAGCCTGATCCGGTCCTTGGCCCGCTACACATACCTTTGGTCGCTCCAATAATTTATAGAGCCTCTTCTGATCACTCTGGAAGAGACGATTCTGGTTGAACCGCCTTGACCCCTCGGAAAATCGTCGAATCCGCTTCCCCCAAGCAGCGATCTTTTGCTTCAGGTCGTCTATGCGCTCCGTTAGTTTCTGCGTGATATCCGGCTGGGACAAACTGATATTTGTCCCAGCAAACGCCATCCTAACGGTGCGCATAATCCTCGGTCTATTATTACCCGACCTGAAGCTTGTCAGTCTGCCGATAAGGGCCCTTGCCTTTGCGATACGGTCCTCGATTCTTTTCCTCCAGGCTGGGATGGCGTTACTTTGTGTAGTAGCGCGTCCAGCCATGGGAAGTTTGGCGCCAATAATACGGCAAACTGCCACTGCGGCGCCAAAGAGAATCGAGTCCGTCTCGCAAAGGTCCCGGCTGGCTTCCAAATAGGTCACCAGCATTGGGTTAAGAGCCCTCACGACAGCCCGATTTCGCTTGCTTAAGGGTATGCGGGGAAGTCGCGGTCGATTTTCGAGAGGGGTGCTGCGCGTTTCCAAAATCGCCTCTTCCAATATACTCCTCATTTGCTCTTGTTCGTGGGAGACTATTTCATCGTCGTTCGAATCAACCACAACTGGAAGATCCATGGCGGCTTCCACGTGTGGATGCTGGTCTGTCGAATGTGGAGCTGCATCTCCAGCCATAGCCGATTCATTCGACGACGGAATAGCCTCACGTCGTAGTCGTTCGAGTTCGGCATCATCAAATATTTTCGAGCGCATGATGTACCGAACTCGGTCTGCCAGGTTTTGTTCCGTGACGGGGATAGACGGCTCCAGCTCAGCAAAAAAGCAATGCATCCGAGACCTATACGCTATTCCCACAGTTTCTTCCCCTTTCGCCCTATAGTACGCCCGCAATGCGTTTTCGTTCATGGATTTTGTCCAACGCATGCGACGTGCTCCACCAGCGGCGGGTGCCGCTTGCTGGGTCCGAGAAGACCCAGCCGACACCAAGCCTTCTGGTGGGGATGATGGATGCGAGGGGCTGCTAGGTGATCGTGCAGCTCCTCGCGCTCGGCTGGCGGCCCGCATGCTGCCGCGTCCAGCGCCAGCTCCAGACGCGCCCCGGCGACCCCCAGGCAGCGGCCCTAGCGCGTTAATTTTTGTGTTTCTTCCATCATCCACTTTATGGGCGCAAAATAACGGGAGACGCCCAAGCCCGGCACCGTTTCGTGGTTGGGTCATATGCACAAACGGACCTTTGCATCTACAATTTTGCCTAGCCACGGCGCTCACACCTCTTGGCAGGATGCTGACTGACTGCGCCGACGTCGCAGTTTAGTCACATAACTGTTACGTCAGCGGGCGATGGGGTCGTCACTTCCCTACGCCTAATTATTATTATTATTATTATTATTTGACTAAGGCAAACAAAGTTCTAATTATATACTATATGTATAAACAATGGAAGAAAGGAAAAATAAAGTGCAAAGATTAATCCTACACGAAGATATTGGGTTCACCCTATATTAACTCGCAGAGAGAAGCATGGCGAATTTCATGTCCTTTTTGCGGAATTACGCAATTATGATGACGAATTTTATGGCTATCTTCGAATGACTAAAAGGACTTTTGATGAATTACTGTCTGTTTTAAATATTAAACTGGAGCATCAGCACACAGTTATGCGTGTTATTATAGTATTTCTTCTGCCGAAAGACTGGTTGTAACTTTGAGGTAAGTAGTCATGATTTCGCTTAAAATTTTTGCGTGAGCGTATAGTTTGAAATATTTTTGTATTTCTAAAAGGTTTATAATTTATATAAACAAACACAAACATATAGAATAAAGCACATGACCTTTTTGAATAAATTATTTTAAACTATAGTACTATGACTCCTCTTTTGAACGTGACCATATAAAATAAAACATGTTTTTGTTTTAATCATTTTTTTAATTTCAGAAAATGTAAGGTAAAGTAATTAATCAACATTAATCAAATACTATAATTATCTTGAATCATAGCGGTAGATGTCGGAGTAGAAAAATAATAAAATTAATTATTCAGCGTCGCAAAGTCGAGGTCGTCACTCATACTGGATTGCACACTGGGTTGACTTTGACCAAATCGAGTGTAAGAGTCAAATTCTAGTTCGGAACTATAAGTAGTAAGTCTAGATTGGCTTCTCACGTTAGAAGGTCCAGGTGCAGTAGAATATCCATAAGCTTCAATATCATAGGTTGGCTGAAGTTGGATGGATTCTTGCAGGTGTATACTTTGAGATTCTGATATGTTGCTACTTATATTTCTTTGTTTAAAATTCCGTAATATTGAAATAACTTGATATTGAAATTCGACAACTTCATCGTCACTGAACTTCTCTATTGTTGGAGCAATACTCTTGAAAAATGACATAATTCTGCTGTCATCGGTTTTCTTTTCTTCTTTTTGCATAGAATCGATAAATTGAATCATTCTTCTATCTACTACACTCAAATCTTTTTCTTTATGAACTTGTTCTTTCTTCCTTTTTCTGATCAGTGTATCATGGCTGTCGTCACTTTCAGTGTTAAAGGTTGGTTGCATATTTGACTCAGTATCCCTATGTTGGGCTATTTTTGACAAAAATTTTATGTTGTCATAGTACGTGTACTTATGAACTATTGGATTAGCTCCCGATCCCGACTTGCTCTCGCTTAATTTTCTCTCGTCTCTCATCGATTTCAACTTTTTCACAACCAGTTTTCCTGTAAATAAGTAGAACAGATCTTGAAAGAGGTAGTGCCACGCTGCATGCATGCATGTAGCCGAATTGGGCCGGCACGACCGGGGAAGTACCTCTTGCTTACACGATACCGGCGTAAAGTGGCAGCTGAGCTGTCGCGTTTCGTGCGGTGTGTAAGTATCCGGTGGCCCGGGGTGGGGAGGGGAAAGGAGAGAAATGCATCGGTATAACATCCAGACAGATGTCTATGGGCGTCGGTAGTCATGAAAATGGCTGCGACTGCTCGTTTGCCCCCTTATAATATAAAAAAATAATTATTTTATTATAATAACAACTGACGACCTCATCAGTCTAACGGCTTACACGTTGGACTTGTAATCTCGAGGTCGCGGGCTCGATTCCCACGGAAGACAAGCATTTATGTGACGAACGTAGGTGCTTGTTTTCGGCCTGGGTGTTAGTTTGTATGTATCATAAGTATATATTTTAAAAAAGTATATATAATTGTATTTATATCCGTTGTCGAGACCCGTAACACAAGCTGCTATAGTATGCTTACTATGGGCTAGATGGCGCTGTGTTTATTGTCTGTGAAATTTATTTATTTAACTTGCCATTCATGCCAGGGGGTATTCAGGCAATGATGGTGTGAAAGTTTTCGGACATAATAATATGTTCCTTACACCCTTTATACCCTTTGCTTTACAGCCTGTATAGCTTGATTATTAATTATTTTATTTTATTTTTCAGGTATTTAGCAACAGGACACGCTTTCGCTGATCTATGATACGGATTCAGAATCGGAAAAAGTACTTTAAGTTCTATTGTCAGAGAAGTTTGCCAAAGTATCTGGGAAGAATTGTCAGAAACATATATGAAAGTACCAACTGAAAATGAGTGGTATGAAATTGCTCGCAACTTCTGTTTAAAAGCCAATTTTCCTCATTGCCTAGGTGCTGTTGATGGCAAGCACATAAGAGTTGTAAAGCCCAACAGAAGTGGATCGATGTTTTTAAATTACAAACATTACTTTTCAATTGTTTTAATGGCGGTAGTTGACACTAATTATAATTATATTTTCATTGATGTTGGTGCATACGGTAAAGAGTGTGATTCAAATGTTTTCAAGGAGACTACTTTTTGGAAAAGCTTAGTGAACAAGACGTTTAATTTGCCAACCTCTGTACAACTGGAAGGATCAAATGTCGATCTACCCTACATTTTTGTTGGGGACGAGGCTTTAGCGTTGCACGAAAACTTACTTCGCCCATTTAGTGGTCAACAGCTGGATGCGACTAAATCGGTCTTTAATTACCGTTTGACCCGGGCAAGGCGATACGTAGAATGTGCGTTTGGCATTATGCCTAATAAATGGCGAATTCTCCATCGTCCTCTAGATGTGTCACTTGATTTAGCAGTAAAAATCGTAAAGACATGTTGTTTACTACAAAATTTTACACATAAAGAAGAGGGTATGCCTGAAGAATTAATCATCAATCTGGGTCCTGAAATATCGGCTTTACTAAGGTCGCAATCAATACAACATATGAGCAAGTACAGTTCGGTTGCGGAATACTTTATGTCTGAGCAGGGAAGAGTACCATGGCAAAATAAATATTGTTAGTTTAAATGATAAAATACAATTTAATAAAAATATGCTAGCATACATACCGTATTTATTTTTTTCCACATCAAGCAGCGTTTCAAAATCCTCATTGATCAATGTACATATGTCACGCCAAGCCTGTAGAGTTTTTCTTTTGTCTTTATAACTTTCGAGGGTTTTATCCCACAGCACATCCCTTTTCTCCACTAAAGACATGAATATTTCTTTATCGATATTATTCATCATTTTATTTATTAAAAAAACACGCCACGCGACTACACTTGATCACAGTCAATACAACACTAGCCACAGCGCGGGCGCAAGGCATATGCAGCGCGTATGCGGGGTGAGCGCGGGGCGGGCGCGGGGCGGGCGCGTGGCGTGTGCGTGGCGTGCGCGGGTAGAATTCAATAAATGCAATTTGAGATCTATTGATGTGCCTAAAGACTCAAATAAAATCAACAAATTTCAAAGCGAGTTTGACGCGGGTGCAGAAGCGCGTGGCGTGGGCGGGGCGGGCGCGTGTCGTCTGAACGCGGCCTTAAAGTGAATGACAATTTCATTTGAGCTAGCGTTTACGGTCTAGCTAGCCACTACACCTCAGAATAAATAATAGTACTACGTACAGAAGTTTCACTTTTTTAATGTTGACTTCTTGCCGACGTTTAATAGCCTACATAATTATTATTAATTAAATAATTCGCGCTCGCAAGCTAAATAAAACTTTATCGCTGCGCGAGAGTGTCCGTATTACTTTGCACATTTTCCTCTTCCTACGTTACGGTGGTCTTTCCGTTGTTATGGGGGGATGTCCATAAAGAGTAACAAAATACATTGCGAAATATTAATTAGGTTACTTAGGTGAAATACCTATTATGACTATGATCGACATACCATATTTTCGCACCTACGTGAGTTCTGCGATGCCTAACGCATGCAACTTGCAAGGCCATTCGTCGGGAATCGCGACGCAAGGCTCGGAAGGAAAAGGTAGGTAGTGTAAACAACAAATAAACTTGAAATACGATTCCTAAGAGAAATGTAATCGTATTCTACTTAGTTAAAAATTTTGTTGGTAAACAAAGTTTTGATTTCAGTGTTTTGTGTTATTTTAGCTTAAAATATTTTAAGATAAAATAACAGCTTAAAATATTTTAATACAAAAGGCAAGTATATGTACGTAAGTAGATACTTGGATAGTGAAGTAAATTTCCACTAAATTTTGTAATAAAGTTCGTAGATATTAAATAAATTATTACTTAATTCTTTTTTGATATAAGTACCTATCTAACAATAAAAATTAAATAAGTTCACGTTTCATAACTTCCTACTAAAATCCTTCGGAAATAAAGAACGATATATCTGAAATATTTTGTCGGTCATTTAGCGTCTACTACGTAACAATTATAGTAGGAACGACGTTTTGCCATATTAAAATTTATTAAATAATGGGTAATATACATAATATATAGTTCTTAAATTACATTAAAAGTTTTGAACTACTTTATCCTATAATTAAATATACTAAACACTAAAGAAAAACTATTTAGTCAAGATTCGAAATTGACTCAGGACGTTTTTAAAAAGACTATTAATAAACTTATAACTATTAATGTGCGATACATTACTTATATACTACTTAATTAATCCGCGATGGATTCTAACATAAGGCTATATGTCCGATACATGTGGGAGCCAAACTAAGACTATCCTAATTCTTATTCTAGATCTTTAAGCTAACGAACAGTTATCAGTATTCACACGAAAGACCACCCGTCTTCCAGACGCAATTCGGCAATCTACGCCCACGCTTACGCTTGAATTGTGATGGTTTCCGATGCAGTTCCGGGAATACCGGGATGAATAACTTTTCCCCCCTCAGATTCGAAATTACCGGGTGAAGTTTTCCGAGTCCGATAATTTCGTTACAAATATTTTTTACATAAGATTACAATTATTATAACTAAAATTACATATAAAATTAATGTCCCGATACTTATGTCCTTCACATTTATGATACTTTCACTTCGCTCACTTTTTACACTATCACTGGTTAATATGTGGTTTAGCTGCTGTAGATTGGTCAGGTCCACACCATCCAGGTTTACTGCTGCTGGATTTGAAGATGTCTTCATTAACAACTGTGGTGTTTCCGGAAGATTTATTATTAGTAGGGGAGTTAACGGATACTCCTCTATAATTTCATGATGCCTTTTCAGACTGAATCCCTTGATTTTAGCTTCGCAGTTGTCGTCGGCTGAGATTATATATGTCACAATTAAATTATAGTGTGATATTTCATTTCCATATTGTTTGATAAGTAATACTGTAGTTTTTGAATAGAGCATCCATCGATCGGTTACTATTTTCATTATCTTCGCATCATCAAACTGTACTAATAGGGCCCGGCATTGGGTGCTGTTAGCTGCAAAACTCATTAGGCTGGTAACACAATTATCCTTAATTAACATGGATGAATAATTGAATAAAACTATTATTTACGGATTTTATCGCGTTTAATTACTTTAATTTATTTTTATTATTATCCCGACGTTTCGGGTGCTTTACAGCACCCATGGTCACGGGGGGACTGAGATGTTTGACGTCCCAATGTCATTGTTAGCCCGGCTACCTTCAGTTTTTGTATATTAATTTTTGGTCCGATTTACGCAAAACGAACTTACAGTATCTTGAAGTCTTGCAGTGGTATGCTTGGGTTTGAGTTTAATTTTGTTAATTATAGGATCCCAAGCAGATGGCAGCACCCAACCATCTTCTCTATTGAAATTAGGATGTTTTTTTAATTTCAATAGCCTCACGTATCATCCTTGGTAGGAATCGGTGTTCTTTTGCGAGGACTTGTGGTTTATCAAATCTGATGGTGGGGACGATCCTGAACATGTTCACAGACTGCAGACTTCCCGGAGCGTCGGAAGTTCGTTTTGCGTAAATCGGACCAAAAATTAACATACAAAAACTGAAGGTAGCCGGGCTAACAATGACATTGGGACGTCAAACATCTTAGTCCCCCCCGTGACCATGGGTGCTGTAAAGCACCCGAAACGTCGGGATAATAATAAAAATAAATTAAAGTAATTAAACGCGATAAAATCCGTAAATAATAGTTTTATTCAATGTGTAGTGTTCACGTAAATTTAAGAAATCATTATGGATGAATAATCCTCTTCACACAGAAACAGTGAGTCATCAATTTCTTTACATGAATGAAGAAGTGACACCGCTTTCAACCGTTTCATCAGAAGGTAGGGGTATTTGGGTAAAATAAGGGATGTTTGGTTCATGGAATTAGTGGTAGGTAAAGGAAGAATTTTGTAATATATGTATGTATTCGAATCAACTAGGGGTATATCTAGAATAAAGGTTATTGGTTTTTTCTTTGAATATACTTTGAAATCTATACTTTGCTCTAATTTTAAAATGTTTTCTACTTTTACAGGAAATAAAAGGTTATTTCTTCGTTCGATAATATTTAACAATGCCAAGAGTTCATCAGTGTCAATAACAGACTGATGCAATGTTCCTAGTTTACTAAAAGCTACCGCTGTTTCAATTTCATCCAGTTTGATATATATATATAGTTTGAAAGTTATGTAGAAACAGGTTATATACATTAGATATTTTAAGTTCCATTTGAGAGTTATTTGTTATATTATTTTGTTTTCTCATTTCCCAAAGAGTTTTATCCAGCTGTATGAAATTGAATTTTGTACTATTTGTAATATTAATAAAGGTTTTAATCATTTCGGCGATCACTGTCATTTTTCTATTTAGCTGACCTTGATTTTCTTTTACATCATTTATTAAAGCATCGTACCTTATGGCATCATCATTGTCCAAATTACCTGTCACAATTTTAATAAGAGTCCCGAGAGGATTCAGAATACCGCGCTTAGCCGTTTTTGATGGTAATAGTTGCTGCAATTTTTCGATTGATATATTTTGAATATAATCTGTTTAAATTTTTAAATTATATATTTCAGAGTTAATTAATTTTTTACCAAAATAACGTGTCACATGTGTATTTAGGTTATCGTATCGATTCTTATTAAATTCTAATTCTCACGTATTAAGCTTAAGTCTAATATCTTAACTAAAGACCACTTATCGTTACTAATGAGAGCTTGTCCCTCCTTTATTGGTAGTATGCCGGAATTTCGAAAAATCGGTTGAAGTAGAAGGGCCTGGGTCCTGAAGACTTGAAGCAGGAACAGAGTGAATCTGTGGAGGACGTTTTATATCCTTAATTGGGGCCCTTGTATTTTGACCGTGATACTTAATTGGTACTGTGTTTCTAACTATATCTCCTATGACCTCTGCTTTTTCATAACGCGCTTTATCTTTACTTCTCCTAACATTCGTGCCCTTTATAAATATTGTGTCCTTATTTTGTAATCTTTTAATTTCTTTAGTTACTTTTAGGGGCTTAGAGAAAATTGTGTCCTTATTTTGTAATCTTTTGATTTCTTTGGTTACTTTTAGGGGCTTAGAGAATATTGTGTCCTTATTTTGTAATCTTTTGATTTCTTTGGTTACTTTTAGGGGCTTAGAGAATATTGTGTCCTTATTTTGTTATGGCTTAGAAGACGTCATGGTAACCCTATCGTCGGATGTATTTTGTATCACCGTGCCTGCAAATGAATTGACGCATTTTACCATAGCACCTGACATCCTAACACCTTGACCAAAATTGACATCATATATTTTTGCGTTTCCATTGTGCATATCCGTTGGGACCTTGGTTTTTCATATCTAGTGAATCGTCAAGTTGTTTTAAAAGATCCGAACCTATTAAATCGTCATATCTACTATCGACGTCATATACATAGAATTTGTGTTTTTCTAAACTTTTAAACGTTTTAAAGAGCGGGATATATATATATATATATATATATATATATATATATATATATATATATATATATATATATATATATATATATAACCCGCTCTTTCTATGACGTCGATAGTAGATATGACGATTTAATGGGTTCGGATCTTTTAAAACAAATTGATGCTTCAATAGATATGAAAAACCAAGGTCCCAACGGATATGCACAATGGAAACGCAAAAATATATGATGTCAATTTTGGTCAAGGTGTTAGGATGTCAGGTGCTATGGTAAAATGGTAAAATGCGTCATTATATATAGTATATTATATAGTATATATATATATATATATATATATATATATATATATATATATATATATATATATATATATATATACAGCTTCGTTATGTTGGCTACGTGCATGCGTACTTATACCTTCGAAAGGTTCATGTAATTTGAAAGCGGAGAAATATTGTTCTGCCTTAGCTGTACTTATAAAAGATCTCCGTGCTTCCGGTGTCTATCGTGAAACGAGACAGTAGTTAGGTTGTACCAGTTCTGGCGCACGACGTTCGTCGACTCACAATCCTAAAAAAAAAAACAAAAAAAAAAGGTTTTGGCATGCTCTGATCACGAATCTGCGGTCCATTTTTGCGTAGGATGCACGGTTCCGGAGATGTGCAGATCAATTAACTCTTATCTAATTGATATCCGCTGCGAGCCTCAACCGTCATTAGCGTTCCATTGTCCTTATCTACTTATCTATTGTTGATTGACTACCGTCATTATCTATTATTCGTCAGCGTGTGGGTCGGCTTATGCTAATGTATTATACTCCTTTGTTCATATCTACAACACTAATCTGAATCATAAATAAAACACATTACCTAATTTTGTTAAAATTTTTATTTATAAAATACAAAATCTTATTACTTATTATCTATAAAATAAGAGCGAAACATCTCATCCACTAAAATATCGTTGTACAATGTGTTCTCTGTAAATATACTCGTAAAACTATGCATTGAACATCCCTGAAACTTATATAGCAAATACATTAAGCAATATTCGCCACAAACTGAAGTCCACTCATTCTGAATCCTATCAACATTCCAGTTCCATCTTTTACAATTTCTTTTAAAAACTCTAGATGATATCGTACAGGTGCCCGTCCGAATGAATCAAAATATTGACCGACGTCATTCGTATCGATATATAAAGCTACCCAATGTGACCCTGGTTTATCATCTGTATCCAAATTGCATATTATATACGTTGGTATGTGGGTGTACATGGGTAGTTTATTGGCAGCATAAACATTATTTTCTAGAGTGGGGTGAATCTTTTTCAGATGTTGTTGTACATCTAGTGTATCCATAATATTACTGCTATTAGTAGATTATTACAGTACCAATCTACTCAATGACTAATATAGGAATGATCAATTATAGTGATATCTAAATATTAAATTGCTTTCTTTGTGTTATACAAAACGTATTTGAGTCACCAATACACTGAACAAGACACGACAGGAAGGACGTAGGAATGTAGAGATAAGCAACAGAATGTAAGGTAAGCTTGTTGACGCATAAAGATACTATCAATTCTACTGCAGAAATTCTTTAGATTAGAATTATTACTCACTGGTACTATATAAGACCAACTGCAGTCATGGAGTTAGTGTATGGTCGTTTAACCGCAGTGGATCTATCAATACTACGTTTGTGTTACTTCAATGCATCAAAGGCCATGGATGTAAGTGTTTATTCTATTGACAAACTTACTTTTCTTTCTGTTATTTTCTTACGTGTGTATGATTTAGTGTTAACAAATTATATTTAAATATTATGTGTGTGTATATGGTTAAGCCGTGGTAGCTCAGATGGTTAGCGCAAAATGTAAAATTCATAGTACACGACCCGGGTTCGATCCCCGCCGGCACCAATTAAATTGTTAATTACAATTTTAAGTGTTGATTTACCACGTGCTCAGCGGTGAAGGAAAACATCGTGAGGAATGCATGTCTGAGAAAATTTCGAAGGCATGTGAAGTTTGCCAACACGCATTGAGGTATCACAGCGAACATTTCCTAGCCCTAAAACCCTCTCAGAAATGAGAGGAGGCCTATGTTCAGCAGTGGACTTTAATAGGTTGTAACTTTAGCTTTTTAACTTTTATGATTAAGTGTTAACAAATTGATATTAACATGATAACTGTGTTGTTGCAGAAATCATTGAGCTTCGATGAAAATACCTATAAACAGTATTACTACTCGCCACTCTCCCCTCAAGAAGAGAGTGATGACATCGTCATTAATAATAACACATGCGATGGTGGAAAAAGAAAATCGCAATCGATTGATCATTTTTTTGAAGCTGAATCAAAAATAAAAAAGAGGAAGCTGTTATCATCAACCGTAGCACGAGCCGCTAGAGATGGTGTATCATACATTTCTACTAATTCTGACGACGGAGACCAAGCGACGCATCTCATCAAAATTGAAATGTACGATATGAAGA